CCTTCCTTCCTTCCTTCCTTCCTTCCTTCCTTCCTTCCTTCCTTCCTTCAGTGCTGGGGATTGAATGCAGGGCCTTGAGCATGCTATGTAATGCTCTACCATTGAACTATGCTCCCAGCCCTCTTCTTAATTTGCTGTAATATTTTTACAGAAAATCTCTGTAATTTCATCCCTAAATATTTCCATATATATATTTCCATATGTATGTGTGCGTGTTGTACACATACAGAGATTTTATTATATAATCACACTACCATTTTCACTTAATAAAATTAATAGTAATGTTTTAGAATAATCTGAAATACTGTTCATATTTCAATTTCTCTTATTTTCTCAAGTATGTCTGTGTCCTGGACAACTTGTTTCGTCCTCCAGACCCATTGTCCGCACAAGTAACAGAGACAGGAGCATACCTCAACAGATTCAGTGATGCCATTTATTAAGCTGCAGAGTCAATCAGTCAGGCATTGGAGGGGCTCATTTTTCGGATAGAAAATGGCCCCCAGTTACAAGAGGGGTCTGCATTTTATAGGTTACAATGAGAGTGACTTAATCATTGGAGACTTCTGCAGAACGTGTGTGTTTGGGCAGTCAGGAAACAGGTTGTAAAAGTGTTGCTGGGAAAGGATGGAAAGTCCCAAGCTTATCTTCTTCCTCTGAGGTTCATTGTCACTGGGAAAGGATTATGTTTGCCTTTTCCCCAGGGATTGTCATTTTCTATATCTTTCACTCGCCATCTCACACTACCCCTGAAGCTGACTGTAAGAGTCAGCCAAACCTAGGCACGAGAAAGCCATCACAAGATGGAAGAAGACAGCAGTGGGGGTATTTATTTCTTGTTTCCCTTCCTGCCGCAACACTAAGGGTCGGCAGCAGCTTTCTACCCAAGGTCACAGCTCCTGTCAAGTGGACCTCCCCACACAGCCACCCTCTTCGGTTCCAGGAGCTGCTTCCTCTTCTCAGTTGTGCTATGACACAGGCTTCTCATCCTTGGCAGCTGCTGAAGACTACACCATTCCTTTGGGTCTCTGGCCCTGTCCACATCTTTCTAAAAAAAAAAAAGGGGAGAAAGAGAGAAACCCTATGTCCCCAATTGCCCACTGTGGGTGTGCCGTCTCTGTCCAGGACCCTACCTGGTACTTATGTCCTTTTACAGTTGATTTGATGATCTGGGTTCCAAACAAGAGCCGTGTGTTGTCTTAGATCTTTGTATCTCCTATGTCCCTTTTATCTGGAACAGTGCCCTCCTTTGTTTGTTTTTTGTTTTCATGTGACTTATTTGAAATAAGTGGATCCATTGTTCCATAGAACGTCCTGCATTCTGGGTGTGGCTGATTGCTTCCTTGTGGGGCCCTCAAATTTATTCCTCTTTCCCTTTAGGTTAAATCTAGAGGTTTGATTAGATTCAAACTTGGATATACTTTAAAGTAGAGCTGATAGAATTTATTATCAGAATGGCTATGGCATGGGAAAGAAAGAGCTGACCTCACTTTCCTTATTTGTAAAATGTTGTAGTAACGTCCACCTACCTACCTTGCTTCCCCCCCGCCCCCAGTACCTGGGATTGAACCACTGAGCCACATCCCTAGCCCTTTTTAATATATTTTATTTAGAGACAGGATCTCGCTGAGTTGCTTAGGGCCTTGCTGAGTTGCTGAGGCTGGCTTTGAACTCATGATCCTCCTGCCTCAGCCTCTCAAGCCTCTGGGATTACAGGGTGGGCCACCGTACCTGGCCTACCTTGCTTATTAATTTCAAAAAAGATCCTGATACACAATTGCTACATGTATACATGTGGAAGGGACTATTGGAAAACAGGCTGAGCCAAACAGTCCTGGACCTTGAGCTGGGAGTCCTGAAGATTGGCTGATGGAGGCTGGCTGATCCATAGGATCTCTCCCAGACTTGGAGGCCAAAGGAGGGCTGAGGAGGCAATGCCATTTGGGGAAGGATGATTCAGGCTGGGAAGCAGAGCTGGGGCCTCGTCTTCCAGGGAAATAGTTTGCATGAAGGTTAAAGGCAGCAAACAGACCAGGTCATGTTGCATCTCAGGGCCCTTGAGCAAGAGAGACAAGGAGAGACGACCAAATTGAGCCTGTTTGGAGATCTCTGACTGAGGTCTGGGGTGTATCTTGGGACCTAAGAAGAATGTGTGGAGTGGTATGGGTGAATGAGCATGAGGAAGGAGGTGTGTGGGGGCAGATGTGAGTGACAGGGAGAGTAGAATGGGCACCTGAGTGATCATCTCCATGATGGTATTTATAAGTGTGTGTGTGGGGTGGTTTGAGTGCGTCTTCCTGTGATGGGGATGGAGCTGGGGAGAATGACTGGACTTTTGGTTCTGGTTTTTAGAGCTGAAACACCTGTCAAAGGAGCCATTTTTGGCTTTGATAAGGAACAGGAGAAGGGATCTGAACAGTAGGAAGTGGCAAGCCTAGACAACCAGAGTGGAGCTGAGGCTGGACCCTGAATCAAGAGCCAGAACCCTGCACTCCTGACTGTTTTGCACCTGCCTCACTGTGAGACCTGGTCCTTTCTGGGCCACAGTTTCCCTCTCTGCTCAAGGGAGTATTAGATCAGCTTATATTTGAGGGACTTGTTTCCTTAGACAGTATCCACCACAAGGGCTTCTCAGTAAATGTTGCTTGGTTGATTGAATAAATGCATGGATAAGTGGATTAGAAACTTTGTTACCCCCAAATCCCCCCCCCCACACACACACAAGTTCACCTGTGTTCACCCTCTCAACTGCCCACACTATTCTCCATGAACTGTCTTGCTGCCAATCTCCAGCTCAGGGTCCTCCCCTGAGCCCTGCAGTGCTCTGTCCCCAAGGATTTGGGGGCCTCAGGGTTTCTTGGTCGCCAGGGCTGCCCTGTCCAATCATGCTGCTGACCACAGCAGTGCTTCAAGCTCCCTCTTCCCATCCTTCCTATATCCTGGTGGCCGCTCCCTTTCCTGGCTCCCTGGCTCTCAATTTCTCCCCGCACTGAGACACACAGACACTGATGAGCACTTACGCATCCGCAGGCACACACCCCACCTCTCTCTCTCTCTTAAATCCCTCGGTCTTGCTCTTTGCTCCCTCATGCCTCTCTTGGACTTCTGTTTACCTCCCTCTGTCCTTCTCCCTCCATCTCTTCCTCGGCCTTCTCCTTTCCTTCCTGACTCCCTCCCGCCCTCTCGGCTGGCTAAATGTTTTTTGGTCTCTTCTCCTTTTTCCTCTTTCTCACTCTTCCATCTCTCCTGAGCACACCCCTTCATACTTTTCTTGCTTCTCTCTCTTTGGCCTTGCCTCTCTGGTCCTGCGGAGCTGCCCACACTCTACCCCGCCCCTAGCTCCTCAAGAAGCTCTGCCCAGTGCCCAGGGCCTTTGTGGGTCAGCTTGGAGGTTCCTGTGGCATCTGTCGAAGAGGCCCTAGGGTCACTGCATTTCCTCCTGGTGGTGACTTGGCAGTGATATGTTCTTTTTCCTCACTTCTGCAATTGCCAGAAGACGGCATAGAGGCTGGAACTAGGGCCCAGACCCAGAGAGACAGGCTCCTCGGCTTAACGACTGGTCCTGGGACAGGTAAGGGGGCGTCCCAGTCTGGCTGGGAAAGGGAGTAGTTTATGAAAATGTCCTCAGGAGGCCAAGATTGTGCCCACTGGCTGCAAATGGGTGGTTCTGTTTTTACTTTTCTTTCTTCTTCTTCATTTTTTTTTTTTTGTACTGGGAATTGAACCCAGAACACTTTACTACTGAGCTACAGTCCCAGTCCTTTTTATTTTTTACTCTAAAATTTTTCCATTAGGGTCTTGCTAAGTTGTCCAGGCTGGCCTTTAACTTGCAATCCTCCTGCCTCTACCTCCTGAGTCGATGGGATCACAGGCATGTGCCACCGTGCCCACTGTTTCTGTTTTTAAGGGACTACTCCGGCATCTTTCTTAGGCCCAGAAAGAGCATTTTGTGACCATACTTTTTCAGGGAGCCCAGCACACTTCTTTTGTATTCTGAGACCAAGGCAGAGCTGAGGTGACCTCAGAGGACTCACTAGGAGGTGATGATGGTGATGAGAAGGGGTTACTTGGATTTAGGAAGCCCAATGCTATCTGCTTTACTGGCTGTGTGTTTTTTGGTCAAGTCATACCCACTCTCTGTGCAGTTTCCCGAATTGTTAAATGAGGCTAATGCCATCTCCCTGGTGGGATTGTCAAGAGAGGAGGAAGGGTCTTGTACAGGGCTGGGTACTTAGGGACTCACAAAATGCTGGGTTTCCCTGGAGGATGATGAAGATAACCAGCATATAGGTATGAAGGACCAGGCCCGCCACCAGTTTTGCCATCATATTTCAGTTGCTAGTGACAAAGCTCAGGCTGGCAGCTCCTTTCCTTCATTGTCAGAACGTCCAATTATGGGGCCAGTGATCAGAGCTTACTCACCTGGAATGAAGGGAAGATTGAGGGAACAGCAGGCTCTCTCTTAAACCCCAGGCGGTTTTCACATGACCTCTAACTAAATGCCCAGCTGTGTCCCAGGTGCTTAAAACCTGGGATGGGGTAGGTTGGTTTCTGCCAGGAAAGCTAAAGAAAGAGACATTTGTCTTTCTTTGCGTGCCGACAACCTGGCCAGAAAGGGACGTCGCCTCTGGAGGTGATTGGCTGTGGGCTTCTGGTGGGTACCCAGAGTTTTGATTGCTGACAAGCTGGGTCCTTGGATAATTCAAGAGCCTCTTTCCTTTTTTGCAGATTGGGGATTAAAATACTGATCTTTTGGGTTTGTGGAGAGGATGAAGTAACAAGCTGGGTAGGAAGTGTTTTATTAATTGTAAAATGATATACTAATGTGAGCCAACATGCACTAGCTAATAAGGACACTGTAATTCTTACTGTAAATGCCTTAGGATAAGGAAATGCCTTAGAAATTCGTTTTCTCCTTACCCTTAGAAGAGTTTGGCATGTAGTAAGAACATACCAATAACACTCATTGAACACCTGATGATAAAGTGGTATGCTGTAGTTTGTAGAGAATGAGCAGTGAGCCACAAGCCCCGATCCAACCCTGACACTGTGGTCACTTTGGGCAACCCCTAGTTTCTCCATCTGATCAATGAAGGTTTGGGTAAGAGATCCTTTGATAAAATGTGCCTCCAGAACTGGGTTTCTTCTTGATTGGTGTTGGGGTAGAAAAGGGATATGAAGAGAGACTGAGATCCTGTGTTTGTCCTTTTATGGGGACCAGGGACTTCCCTCTCCTCACCCCAGGCCTGTGAACAAGATTTTGTTAAAGAGGAGAGCTTTTTCTTTTTTTTTTGATGCCCCCCCTTTCCATACTGGGCACCCTAGTGGGTGGAGGCTTGGGCCCAGGAGGGCAACAACTGAGCCACAGCCTGGGAGCTCTCCTGATGAGTCTTGAGAGCTCTCCTGATGGGTCCTGGGAGTTCTCCTGGGAGCTGTGTTGGGAGTGGAGTCACTTCCCAAAGACAAATGCTGGGCTCCTAGCACAGCCACTTCCCTGAACAGCCACTCTTGGGTTCCCCAGCAGCATGACAAGAGCAAGAGAAGCCTCTGGTGTCTTTTTCTGTGTGCATGGGTATCTGGTTGTGAGGGCCAGATAGGGAGTTGGGTCTGGTTTTTGTCCATGGTGCGTGAAGTGGTGCCTACAGGTGGGACTGGTATTGCTCTGACAGGTCCCAGAAGCAGGATTGCCAACAAAGCCTGCTGAAAGGGTGGTATGTCTGTGTGTCTTCAGTCAAGGGGGAATATGGAGCCAGACACGTGTGTGTGTGTGTGTGTGTGTGTGTGTGTGTGTCTGTGTATGGGGGGAAGGGCAAAGAGAGAGACAGAGAGAGAGAAAGAATGAATACATGAGAAGGACCCCACTCAGCTGTTCTTCCCCTCCCTCTTAGTTTTCAAAAGGGGGATCCTTAGGGCCCAGGTTTGAAGCTGAGCTCAGGTGGCTGATGACAGAAATGTGCAGTGCCCTTTCTGGTTTAAAAAGTCTATTTCAATTTTCCAAGTGCTTTACTATTTACCAAACTTTCTGTCACCCCACCCCCCAATAATCTTACTTCCTTTTTACAGCAGTGCGTCAAGGTAGTCAGCGAACCCCATTTTGCAGATAAAAGTCCCAAGGCTCAGAGCTGGCAAGAGACTTACTTGAGGCTGTATATGACCCTGTTGAGACCAGAGACCCAGATCCTCAATTCCAATTGCGGTGCTTTCTCTCCAACCACCCCTGGCTTCTTCCAAAAGAGACATAAATAGCTTGG